CTCAGGTCATGATCCTGGAGTCCCAGGATCGAGTCCCGCATCGGGCTCCCTGCTCGGCAGGGAGTCTGCTTCTCCCTCTGGCCCTCTCCCCTCTCACGTGCTCTCTCTCTCTCTCTCATTCTCTCTCTCTCTCTCTCAAATAAATAAATAAAATCTTTAAAAATAAAAAATCTCTGTGACTGGTAATAAGGGTTTTGAAGCCAAGAGTGTCTGGTACACCATAGTACAAGGCATCATGGGACACAGCAGAAGAGCAAGACTGGAAGTATAGAGAGCAAAATATTAGCAGTGGTCTGTCTTCATGGTGGAGTAATAAATGGTACTATTCATTCGTTACTGTTTCATTCATTTATTCATTACTATCCATGCATTATTATTATCATTGTTATCCATTCATTCAATTTATGGTTTAATGTACTTTCCAAGTTTTCAATGAGGAACATATATTAAGTTCATAATAAGTAAAAATTCATTTTAAAAAAGATTCTCATGTCCAAAGTAGCCAAACCGGATTTGGAGCTCTCTTCACAAGCTTTCACAGCTTATACAGACTATTAAATCTCTACACTCAAGCAATAATCCGCTTAATATGTGATTATTACTAAACTTCAGGTTATCAATTCCTTCTTTTCTTTCATTATCCCTCTAACAGAAGTAGAGTGGGACATAAAAGCAGCAAGACTGCTCAACCAATGTTCTCCTCACAACTGAAACTCACACACATACAAACACGTGTGTGTGTACCCGCGTGCAAGGGCACACGCACACACACGCACACACACATACACACAGAGTGACAAGTTTAAGCCACCACTTGAGGATGTAAATCAGAGATATTTTCCCCTTAACAGAACCTACAACCGCCACTTATAAGTATGTTTTGAATGCTATCAGTGGGATCAGTGGGAAAGGAAAAAATCTTCATTTACATTCCACATTTACATCTGATCTAACTATATACATTGCATTAAAGACCACTCAGAAGTGACCTTCTTTTAAAATAAATAAAGCAGTTTAAGCTCTTTATTCACGTATGATGGTTTCCTTGCATGTCCTAAAAACAGGACAATGAATTAGTCTACATCTTCCTTCCCACCTCTGAACAGTCAGAGTTGGAGACCTTTTCTCTCTCTGTCCAATTATAGCTCAATATCACAAATAGTCACTTTCTGGCCTCATTCAGTTGAAAGGTGTCCCTTCTGGCTTAGCTCCTCCAGAGGAAAAACTTGGCTTCACCACACAGGAATCCTGGATTTAAATTTCTCACCCTGCTGGTAGGAAAAACAAAACAAAACAAAAACAACTCTCTGATTGCCTTCACTGGTCTGGGTTTCAGCTGCCTCATGCGTGAAATGGAAAGAAACGACCTTTCTTTCCTGACCCATATAATCTCCCGTCCTCCCTTCAGGGCTCTGTAGCTTGATGCCCTACACGGAGCTTCACCTGTGTTCCAGGACACTCGGGGGGCATTTGTATCCGCTGTTCTGATGGAGATGTGGACAGTGATAGGTGCACTCCTTTCGAAGAAGAAATCATAAACCTCCACCTCCACCTGTAAACAAACCGTTGCATAAGAATCACACATTGACAATTTATAACATAAAATACCATTATTCCTGGGGCAGACACCACAGATGGAGGCAAAACAGATTTAGGTTTCTGCTGTTCCTTGATCTCATTTTTCTTAAAGATTCATTTATTTATTTTAGAGACAGAGAGAGGGGGCATGCAGGGGGAGGGGCAGAGGGAGAGAGGCAGGCTCCCTGCTAAGGGTGGAGCCCGATGCGGGGCTCAGTCTCACAACCCTGAGATCACAATCTGAACCAAAATCAAGAGTCAGATGCTTAACTGACTGAGCCACCCAGGCGCCCCGCCTGATCTCATTTTCGACAGCCTGGTATCACGTTTTCAGGCTCTAGATTTTGTTCCTTAGTTAACAGTATTTTTAAATTTTCCTCTCCATAAAAGAAGTTTTTAACCTGAAATAAACAAATACACTGAAGAAGGGTCCCTGCAATTGCTCAGGAGACCAGCATCAGACCACTCAAGCCTCTCTCAAAGGTATAAGGTCTAAAGAAGTGCATCTTAAGTAAGGGGACTTTGTTCCCCCAGGGGACATTTGGGAATGTCTGGAGACATTTTTGGTCTCACAAATGGGTATGCGTGGTGGGCAGTATTACTGGCCACTAAATGGAGGATAGAGGCCAGGGATGCTCCTATTACTACCATGCACGGGACAACCCCCACAACAAAGAATTATCCAGTGCAAATGGCCAGTGGTGCTGCTTTTAAGAGACCCTGGTCTACAGGCATCTATCTCTCCAAACATATTTTTAAATATCCAGATTGTATTTGCTTCCATGAAATCCATAGCTAATAAATGGGGCTATATGATAAGATTTTTAAAATATTTATTTGAGAAAGCACAAGACAGAGCACGAGCGGGGGGTGGGGGGTGCAGAGGGAGAAGCAGGCTCCCCACTGAGCAGGGAGCCCAACACAGGGCTCGATCCCAGGACCCCGGAATCATGACCTGAGGCAAAGGCAGACGCTTAACCAGCTGAGCCACCCAAGTGCCCCATTAAGTTTAGAACCTCATTATGTATGATGCACATATTGCACCAGGTGCTGACAGGGAAGGATGATTTATAAGACAGAAATGCAAGGCACATGCCCATTCTTGAAGAATGTCCATTTGACATTGAATGTCCATTTGGTCCATTAGAGAGCATAAATTATCAAACGGCAATGTATCAGCTACCTCACAAAAGAAACAGATTCAAGGCTGCCACAGTAACAGACTAAAAATGGAACCATAACCCAGGAGGGATGTGTTTTGGAGGTGTAATGTAAATATCTATTAGGTTGAGCCATATGAAATTGTAGGTCACATGCTCACTAAGAAACACTGTTTTCAAACCAACAGAGTACCTAGTAAAATAAGCTTGAATTTTCATGGCTGAAAGAATGGACCGCCTTGGCATTACAGTGCAGGAAAGGCTCAGCTAGCTTCAGGAGCCCTGGACATTGCTCTGCCCTCAGGGGTCCCACCCCAGGTGGCTGACTGAGCCCAGGGCTTCCAGTCCATGTAATCTACAAAGCACCTAATCTCCACTGAGAAAATTGAGAGTCACCTTCTAAGAACAACGGCAAAATCACACATTTGAACAAGTTCTGCTTTAAGATTACATTGTATGACCCCAGAAAAGACACATAGGAAGCAGCCAGAGCAGGTGAGCTTTATTTATGAGTTCGAGGTAAAACTGGGCGTCGAATGAGAAATTACTTTATAATATGGAAGGAATGGGAGGCAGAGGAAGAAAGAAAAAAAACAGCTGCCACTTACTATTATGAAGAAAAGAAAAGAAAAAAGAAAAGGAAAGGGCAAAAGCATGGCATTTACAGTCTGAAGTCTTTTGTCGCCCTGGAGGCTAAATGCTGAAAATGCCTAAATTAGATGAAGGACAATTTGGAACACCAGGCACACTCATTTTCCTTAATAAACCTGAAGTCAAGTCTGTATCAATCCGCTCATTTAAACATTCCATCCTGTTACAATCAACTTGCTGGTAGGTCTGTAAGTTTGTGAAGACTGTCACCAGCTGTTCTCAACTCCCATCCAAAACAAAATTAGAGGAAAGAGGCTGGAATAGCAGCCAAAGGTACTTGGTTTAGACAGGAAGGGGACTTTCCTGTGTTTGATAGAGAAATTAGTCATCCAATGAGATTATGGAATGTCCTGTCCTGAGTCGGCATTATTCATTAAAATTAAGGATCCCAGTAAAACACTCATCCAAACAAAAAGGAATAATAGGATTTATTTTTTTAAAGATTTTATTTATTTATTTGACAGAGAGAGAGACAGCGAGAGAAGGAACACAGGCAGGGGGAGTGGGAGAGGGAGAAGCAGGCTTCCTGCCGAACAGAGAACCCAATGCGGGGCTCGATCCCAGGACCCCAGGATCAAGACTTGAGCTGAAGGCAGACGCTTAATGGCGTCCAGGTGCTCCAGGAATAATAGAATTTATTAATGAGGGGTGCCTGGGTGGCACAGTGGGTTGAGTGTCCGACTCCTGGTTTCAGCTCAAGTGGTAATCTTGGGGTCATGGGATCGAGTCCCACATGGGGCTCCACACTCAGCACAAGGTCTACTTGAGATTCTCTCTCCCTCCCCTTGCCCCTCCCACTTGTGCTCTCTCTCTCTCAAATGAATAAATAAATCTTTAAAATAAAAAGACTTTGTTAATGAAAGGATTGTAGACAAAGTCGTCCCTAAGTTCCATGGCCTATGCCAGGCAGAAAGACTGTCAAGGACATGAGAGTTCTTAAACTGGTGAGTTCTGGGCCAAATGTGGCCCTCAGAAGTATTTTGTAGCTGGCACAATATGTTTTAGAACCTTTAATATGTACTCTGTATTTAAAAATTAAAACATTTTTACAAAACACTTACAGATTTCCAAGTCCTCTGAAGAACAAGAGCTAAGACTACCCTAGGTGCGTCCCGATTTGTCTGTATTCACACAGGATGGCAATCACTAGCGCTCCGATGCAGCGGCCTCTGACACTGTCAGCTCTTTCTTCCACTCCCCACCGTCTCCCCCCAGGCGGGTTTGCTCATTGGCATCACCAGTGGCTCCTCTGAGCATTTGAATCTGCATCTAGATTGACAGTGACTGATTCTCTTCTGAGGCACTGACGTGCAAACTAACCTGAAGGTGCAGGGAAGTGGCCTGCCTCTTCAGTAACTCTGTGGATAGCAGACGGGCCAGACGCTTTGTCTCCCTTTCTTCCTACCTCGTAATGTCTCCGTGCAGAATAGCTGCTGTTCGGTGGCTGGTAGGCTATCTGCATGTCACTCAGATCTTTCCAGGTGAACGAGGAGACGGGTCTGGTGTGATCCCACAGATGAGTCACGTAGCCCTGGGGTGGGGCTTTCGTAACGTTGAACACCAGCAAGGGCTTAGGGGTCTCATCCTCTTCACAGTCCAGGACGGCTGTAGTCAAGGAGGTCAGGATAAACTGATCCACTTCCAGAATAAACATGGCCATGAACGCGGCCCTTGGAATCTGATTAGGAAAGCCAGCTCTGATATAGACGGGCAACCACGCACTCTCTGACTTTTGAAGGGGAAAGAAAATACGAAGGGGAAACAATATGAATGAAGCTATCACATACATGGTTAATAGTATGTAGACGGTGTGTCTGGCAGTGACCTGAAACCTGGCTGCACATTAGAATCATTGGAGAGTTTTAAACACATACTGATGCCCAAGCTCCATCTCCACAGGTTCTAATTTAATTGTTGCAAAAAAGGGAAACTGAGGGTTGCTGGAGTGGTGGGGGGTGGGAGGGATGGGGTGGCTGGGTGATAGACATTGGGGAGGGTATGTGCTATGGTGAGCGCTGTGAATTGTGCAAGACTGTTGAATCACAGACATGTACCTCTGAAACAAATAATATATGTTAAAAAAAGAAGATAGTAGGAAGGGAAAAATGAAGGGGGGGGGAATCGAAGGGGAGACGAACCATGAGAGACTATGGACTCTGAGAAACAAACTGAGAGTTCTAGAGGGGAGGGGGGTGGGAGGATGGGTTAGCCTGGTGATGGGTATTAAAGAGATCACGTTCTGCACGAAGCACTGGGTGTTATACACAAATAATGAATCATGGAACACTACATCAAAAACTAATGATGTAATGTATGGTGATTAACATAACATAATAATGAAAAAAAATTGTTGCAAAAAAGGGACCAGAAAACTGGTACTTTTTTTTTTAAGATTTTTTTTTTTATTTATTTATTTGACAGAGAAAGACACAGCGAGAGAGGGAACACAAACGGGGAGTGGGAGAGGGAGAAGCAGACTCCCTGCCGAACAGGGAGCCCAATGCGGGACTCGATCCCGGGACTCCAGGATCATGACCTGAGCCGAAGGCAGTCGCTTAACCAACTGAGCCACCCAGGCACCCGAAAACTGGTATTTTTAAAAGCTCTCTGGTGACTCTAATATGTAGCCAGGATTGAAAGTGGACATTCGTTTGGCATCAGAAGGAACTGTCCTTTTGATTCCATTTCCAGCACTTATGATTTGTGTGATTTTAAACAAGCTATTTAACTCCTAAGCCTTTTCCCCCCATTTGTAAAATGCAAATGCTGGACCCCCAAGTAATAAGTGAGGATCAAATGAGATAGTCAAAGTAAAGCACTTAGCAGTGCCTGGCACACCCCACTTACCTCCTCTGGCCACCCTGCCCACTTCCTGCCATGTGGTTTGAAAGAGGGCAAAGGCAGGATGAAGGAAAATGTCTCCATAACTCAGTACTCATGCAACTGAAGGATGGTGGCTCAGCTGTCCAGTTAGTTAAGACCCTGAGTCCCCAGGTGATGAGTAGGTAATTAAAACTGAAAACTACCAATCAGGCTAGAAATGTACCCTCAAATGAGAGAGCTATGAGCAAGCGGCCCCAATAATGGGGATCTCCAGAGAAACCAGGAAATTGCATCTTGGGATCTGAGGCGTCAACAGGTGCTATGAGGAAGAATCCTCAAAGCAGGAGATGCTGGTTTTCATGGGACTTGGTGTTTCGCATTGTTAAGAATGACCCTGAACGATAAGAGTCACATACAATATGCAGAACACTGGATATTGGACTAGAAGTTGTAATCTGCATGTAACGAAATGATAAAAACAGAATTCTTTTTGGTTTGGTCTCAACTGAAATTCCAATGAAAGAGATATCAGATTTCAAAGTGAACGTGACAGCAATACTACAGGCAGTATTTACAAAGCAAATTGTCTGGAACTGGTCTAGAACCCTCTCACCCACTACAAGAATAGAAAAGGGTCGAGAGGGGTAAGAGAAAGATTTATTTGTAGAGAAGAGTGCTTTGCTGTGCTGAGTCACTCCCTCGATCCCCAACCCCACCCAACCCCATGAAGAGGAAAGGTGGGCAATGCTACATTTGTCCTGGGTGTCAGGAGAGAAGTTTCCTTGAGGCCAGGCTTAAATGTATCTTTTACAGGTGAGATACAGAGGACTGATGCTGGGCTCCTACAGGAGGAAGCGAAGGGGCCAGACGCAGAAAATACTCGTGCCTCTTCTGGGATCTGCCTAGCCTTTGTTTGTGGCAAGGAAAAACATATGGGGGCTCCCACATATGGGCTGAGTGGGACAGAGGGTTGGTTTGGGGTCATCCTGGACCCTGACTTTTTGGGGGTATCTGTGAGAAGCCAAAGAAAGGCAGAAACAGGCAGCTGGGGGTGGAAATAATCCTAGGAGCTATGGGAGAAATTGCAAGTGAATACTCAGGCTAGAAAGGACTCCTCTGGAGACCCACCAGAAGACCACCTCCAGGATGGGAGATCCCCAGAGAAACCACAGAATTGTCCTGGAGACAAAAGAATAAGCTGGAAACACTTGCCAGAGTTACAGAGCATGAAGTTATATTCCATCAGTGTCTGATCAAATAAGACCTCTCTCCGCAATGCTCTGCACAAACCAAGCCCCCTACGACCAGAAATTCCAAAACCAGCCAGCAAAACTCCAAAGAAAGAAGTGCAACAGAGAAAGAGAAAAGAAGACAATCAACCCCTCTCTCCTCCCACTGCATGCTTAATGAAGACAAATTAATAATATGCTGAGACTTCTCAGGGTTCAGAGTATCTATTCTTCACATGCCACTTAAAAAAATTATTTAAAGGGGTGCTTGGGTGGCTCTGTTGGTTAAGCATCCGACTCCTAATCTCAGCTCAAGTCTTGATCTCAGCTCAGATCTTGATCCCAGCTCAGATCTTGATCTCAGGGTTATGAGTTCAAGCCCCGCACTGGGCTCCACGCTGGACATGGAGCCTCCTTTAAAAAAAAAATTATTTAAAAAGTCATAATGTTGAAAATTCAAGAATGGGAAAATCATGGTATAAAAGGACTGGTGCTGAACAGTAGGAGCATTAAGAGTAGGAGACTTTAACACCCCACTCACTAATGGGCAGATTGTCTAAGCAGAAGATCAACAAGGAAATAAGGGCTTTGAATGACACACTGGACCAGATGGACTTCACAGATATATTCAGAGCATTCCATCCTAAAGCAACACAATACACATTCTTCTCGAGTGCACATGGAACATTTGCCAGAATAGATCACATACTGGGTCACAAACCAGTCTCAACTGGTACCAAAAGATTGGGATCATTCCCTGCATATTTTCAGATCACAATGCTTTGAAACGGGAATTCAATCACAAGAGGAAATTTGGAAAGAACTCAAATACATGGAGGCTAAAGAGCATTCTACTAAAAAATGAATGGGTCAACTGGAAAACTAAATAAGAATTTTAAAAATTCATGGAAACAAATGAAAATGAAAACACAACTGTTCAAAACCTTTGGGATGCAGCAAACATGGTCCTAAAGGGAAGTATATAGCAATACAAGCCTTTCTCAAGAAACAAGAAAGGTCTCAAATATACAACCTAACCTTACACCTAAAGGAGCTGGAGGAAGAACAGCAAATAAAGCCCAAACCCAGCAGGAGAAGAAAATTAATAGATTAGAACAGAAGTCAATGAAATAGAAACCAAAAGAACAGTGGAACAGATCAATGAAACTAGGAGCTGGTTCTGTGAAAGAATTAATAAGATTGATAAACCCCTGGCCAGACTTATCAAAAAGGAAAGAGAAAGGACCCAAATAAATTAAATCATGAATGAAAGAGGAGAGATCACAACCAACACCGAAGAAAAACAAACAATTATGAGACCGTATTATGAGGAACTACATGCCAACATATTAGGCAATCTGGAGGAAATGGATGCATTCCTAGAGACATATAAACTACCAAAATTGAAACAGGAAGAAATAGAAAACTTGAACAGACCCATAACCAGCAACCTCTTCGACCTCAGCTGCAACAACTTCTGGCTATACACATCTCCAAAAGCAAGGGAAACAAAGGCAAAATATTTATTTTAAAAATAAATAAAGGAAATACAACTTTAGCATTTAATTGATCAGCAAGGGAAACAGAGGCAAAAATGAACTATTGGGACTTCATCAAGGTAAAAAGCTTTTGCACAGCAAAGTAAACAGTCAACAAAACCAAAAGACAACCGACAGAATGGGAGAAGATATTTGCAAATGACATAGCAGATAAAGGGCTAGTACCCCAAATCTATCAAGAACTTACCAAACTCAACACCCAAAGAACAAATACAAATCAAAACCTCAATGAGATACCACCTCCCACCAGTCAGAATGGCTAAAATTAACAAGTCAGGAAACGACAGATGTTGGCGAGGATGCAGAGAGAGGGGAACCCTCCTACACTGTCAGTGGGAATGCAAGCTGGTGCAGCCACTCTGGAAAACAGTATGGAGGTTCCCCAAAAAGTTGAAAATAGAGCTACCCTATGACCCAGCAATTGCACTACTGGGTATTTACCCCAGTAAATGTAGGGATCCGAAGGGGCACCTGCACCGCAATGTTTATAGCAGCAATGTCCACAGTAGCCAAACTATGGAAAGAACCTAGATGTCCATCGACAGATGAATGGATAAAGATGTGGTATATAATATATACAATGGAATACTACTCAGCCATCAAAAAAATGAAATCTTGTCGTTTGCAACAATGTGGATGGAACTAGAGGGTATTAGGCTAAGTGAAATAAGTCAATCAGAGAAAGACAAGTATCACATGATCTCACTAATATGAGGAATTTGAGAAACAAGACAGAGGATCACAGGGGAAGGGAGGGAAAAATGAAACAAGACAAAACCTGAGAGGGAGACTAACCAGAAGAGACTCTTAATCTCAGGAAACAAACTGAGGGTTGCTGGAGTGGAGGGAGGTGGGCGGGATGGGGTAGCTGGGTGATGGACATTGGGGAGGGTATGTGCTATGGTGAGCACTATGAATTGTGTAAGACTGATGAATCACAGAACTGTACCCCTGAAACAAATAATACATTATATGTTAATTTTTAAAAAGTAAAAAAAAAAAAGTAAACAGTTGATCAAAAGACAATCAGCAGAATGGGAGAAGATATTTGCAAACGTCTTATCAGATAAAGGGCTATTATCCAAAATCTATCAAGAACCTACCAAACTCAACACCCAAAGAACAAATAATCCAATCAAGAAATGGGCAGAAGACATGAACAGACATTTCTGCAAAAAAAGACATCCAAATAGCCAACAAACATGAAAAAATGCTCTACATCACTCTGCATCGGGGAAATACAAATCAAAACCACAATGAGATACCACCACATGCCAGTCAGAATGGCTAAAATTAACAAGTCAGGAAACGACAGATATTGGCAAGGATGTGGAAAAAAGGGAACCCTCTTACCCTGCTAGTGGGAATGCAAGCTGGTGCAGCCACTCTGGAAAACAGTATGGAGGCTCCTCAGAAAGTTGAAAATAGAGCTACCCTATGACCCAGCAATTGCACTACTGGGTATTTACCCAAAAGATACAAATGTAGTGATCCGAAGGGGCACCTACACCCCAATGTTTATAGCAGCAATGTCCACAATAGCCAAAACATGGAAGGAACACAGATGTCCACTGACGGATGAATGGATAAAGAAGAGGTGGTATATATATACAATGGAATACTACTCAGCCATTAAAAAAATGAAATCTTGTCGTTTGCAACAATGTAGATGGAACTAGAGGGTATTATGCTAAGTGAAATAAGTTAATCAGAGAAAGACAATCATCATATGATCTCACTCGTATGTGGAATTTAAGAAACAAAACAGAGGATCATAGGAGAAGAGAGGGGAAAAGTAAAACAAGATGAAATCAGAGAAGGAGACAAACCATAAGAGACTCTTAATCATAGGAAACAAACTGAGGATTGCTGGGGGGGGTGGGGTAACTGGGTGTTGGACATTAAGGAGGGCACGTGATGTAATGAGCACTGGGTATTATATAAGACTGATGAATCACTGAATTCTACCTCTGAAACTAATAATACATTGTTAACTGAATTTAAATTTTAAAAATTAAAAAAAAGGACAGTGTGGGCAGTTGATATTGATAAAATATATACAAGACAAGGATTCTTATAAGCATCATTATATTTAATATTCTGGCCAAACCAGTGGGGAACAGAGCAAAAATAAGAGGAATAATTACTGAAAAAGAAAGGACAAAATTACCATCATTAGTGAAAGATATAATTATGGTCTTCCAAAGCCCAAAGAACTGAAAAATTCTTAGAATAATTGAATTCAAGAAAGAAGCCAGATAAAAGAAAATTATACCAAAAAATAGCTTTCCTATTTATCATCAGTAACCAAAGAGAAGATATAATGGAGGGAAAAGTGTCTATTCACAGTAATTTCCCAAAAGCAAACTGCCTAGGACCGGACTTAATAAGTGTGCTCAACTTACATGAAGAAAACTGCAAATTTTACAGAAACACATCAAATAACATTTGCCTAGATGAAGTGAGGTCCCTCATTTCTGGATGAGAAGGCTCAATGGGTAAATGTTCTAATATTCCAATTATTTCCAAAATACTTTAGTTTTAATCCAATCCTGATAAAAATACTTAGGGTCTTTTCTTTAATGAACATAAATGATTTAATTCTTTATTGAGAACTAAGATTAGGAGAGAATGGATAAGAAAACTTTGAAGACAAGTGATAAGGAAGAACTTGCCTGTAAAATATTAAAGTGTATTATTGACCTTTTATATTTAGAATAACTGATACTGGCACAGAAATAAGGAGGCATATCTAAGGAACAAAAGAGCTAGCCTTGAAATAGTATACATAATATCTTGTATTCAATAGAAGAAGCATCAAAAATCAATGAGAAACGGGTTCATTATTCAACAAATAGTGCTGAAAATTTTGACTACTTGGGAAAAAAACTGTTCCTGTGTTTCACAATATGATAAAATTCATTTCAGATTGATTAAAAAGGCAAATGTAAACAAGAAAACCTTAAGAATCTAGAAAAAATTATGGATGAAATAGTCATTTGGTCACTTGATGAGGATGGACTGTACAAGTATAAAAATAATAACAAGATTCAAAATCTTCAAATATAGCATAAATTCAGTTGCATAAAACAAAACCAACATTGGTGTGCATGTCTCCTTACCGTGTGTGTGTGTGTGTGTGTGTGTGTGAGATAAGTGGGAGAAATATAACTCGTTTTGCCTTCTTATTTTGCTTTCTGTGTGTTTTTCAAAAAAATACTCTCTGCAGTAAACATATGACTTTGATATTCATAAAAGAATGTGTTTTATGACATGCCAAACTGCCTATGGAGTAGGTTAATTAATAAAACAAGAAGGTCATTTTAAGGAGTAAAATCCCAAACTGATCTAAAAATATAAACAATAAAGCCCTAACTCAATATAGAGAGGGAAAATAGAAAAATCAGTCAGGAAGAAAAATGGGTCTAATTTTTTAAATGGAGATAAGAAGTCAATAAAAGTGAAAGTTTTGGGGTGCCTGGGTGGCTCAGTCTGTTAAGCGTCTGACTCTTGATTTCAGCTTGGGTGGTGATCTCAGGGTCCTGAGATTGAGCCCTGCATCAGGCTCTGCTTTGAGCATGGAGCCTGCTTGAGAGTCTCTCTCTCCTTCTCCTTGTGCTCCGCCCCCCACCCCCACTCACTCTCTCTCTCTCTCTCTCAGAATAAAATAAAATAAAAGTAAAAATCTTTTTGTGTCAAAAAGATGAGAAGATATCTATTAATAGTTAGGAGACCTAGGAATTAGTCTTGGCTCAGTCATAAAACGGCTATGTATGTATGGGCAAGGTATGCAATTTCTCTGACCACCATTATACAACAAGATGTATGGGCTAAGCCAGTTGTTTCCAAACCTAGCTGATGATCCATTTTTTTCCCCAGGTGGCTTTTTTAACTAGCAAAGTATGCACAGTGCTTACTATGTGCCAGACTTTGTGCCAACTGCTTTATAAGTATTATCTCATTTCTTTCTCTCAATTACTCTAAGAAGTAGGTTCTATTATTCCCATTTTAAGATTTTTTAAAATGAGGCATAAAATCCAAAGTCAAATAGCTAGTTAAACAGACATCTGAACCCAGGCAAACTGGGCCCAGCGTTCATGTTCTTAGCCATTAATGTCAGGCTCAGAAATCTATCCTTTAAAATTCACCAAGTGATTTGCCTAATCAATTTGATCAGACCATCTCAGAGTGTTTTTTTTAACCTCAATTCTAAAATTTTCTGATCCTGTTTTGTCATTTTCTTGTTTTTTATCTTATAAATTCCTTGGGAGTGACAATGCTCAGTATCTGAGTTTCTTGGGAGATATCTGGTGAGAAGTCAAATTTTGAAAGAGGGAGGTCTTTCATGAATGTAATCTTGGATCATCTTATGTCAGCACAAAATCCAAGCTGTTTCAGCTGGTACACAGTTGCCCCAAATAAAACAAATTATAGATCATATGAATCAGTTAAGTAGCATGTTAAATATTTCATATAAATTGATTTCATCTTCTACCTTCATTTCAATGTGAGGAGATCAATAGGAGGAAAGGGCAGGAGGAGTTGAAAGAGACTGAAAGATGGAGGAGGCCTTGCGGGGGGCCTTTCTCCTTGATGACCTGGTCTTCCATCACAGAGTCTAAAAGAGTGAATAGGATATAAGCTGCTACACCCATAATACTGGGACTGAGTTTCCCCCTGCTCTCAGTCTCCCACGGCCTTGCCTAGTCGATATGTGGACCCCCTAATTTCCTCTAACAGGTGAAAAGAGGTTATAACAAAGAAGGGGGAATGAAGCCTCAAAGAGAGGGTGCTACGAAAGACCAAATGACAAGCTAAAGAATACTGAAGGGAGAGGGGGAAGAAGGGTAGCATGTAAATGGCCCCAGTCCTTCCTCCATTGCCTTAGTGGTGCAGAGCTAGAAGAGAGGCAGGGAAGGGAAATTATACACGGATATTTTGCAGTTCTAATGAATCACTGGGCAGTCCCACCCACGGTAGCTCAGGAACTGGCCCTGGCATGGCAGCCAGCACAAGCACCCCCATGGAAGTGGCTCTCTTGCTGCGGATCAGCTGGGGACACAGACACATAACCCCCAACTCTACCTTGTATACAATTTTGCTCCTGCCATCTGTGAGGTCCAGCTGGATAGAGATGTAGTCAATGTTGGGAGAAGGGGGATCCGTGTGTTGATAACGAAGACCCATCAGCAAGAACTCCTCACAGCTCACGTTGACACTTCCCATTTTCTTCAGTCCCAGGGCACAGCTTCCACCTGGACACCTCAGCTCTGTTCCCAGTTCTAGAACATATAGCACTGAGTTAAGACAGTCACTTGAGCATGATTGTAAAATTAAAAAACCAATCCACCCTCCCGTGGATACTAGCTGCCTCAGGAATACCCATGCATACCCTCTAATCATTCACAGAGGGGGCTGGCATTATTCTATAATCCCTAATTTCTTTTCCTGAAAAGAACGGTTGACCAGTTGTCTCCTGAGATCCTTGCCCACTGAAAGTTACACTGAGAGAAAAAATAATAAAATACATATTCTGATGACCAAACATCCCTGATGAATAGGCCACTCGGTCACAACTGGCCTTCCACAGTCTAGTGCTGGTCTTCCTTCACAGCATCCACATCCACAGCTCTGTCATGCACTCTCTCCAAGGCTGTTCTACTCGCTGAAATTCTCTCCCCACTGTGTTCATCACACGCCTGAGTCCTGATACCTCTCCAAGTCCCCTTAGTCTTTTTACTAAACCCTCCTTTAAGTACTCTTTGACCGCCTGAACCAACCTGCTCTCTCCCCCTAAAAACCACCATCATTTCTGCAATAGTCTCTCTCTCTCTCTGCCCAACTTCATTTTACACTCTTGTGGGGTGATACCCAGAGGCCACTTATTTTCTGAGTGGCCTTTGGTACATTTCCCTGATGTATAAAATGAGTATTCTACTTCTTAACCAGATGGTCGTGAACACTAAATGGGAGGACTCATGTGCAAGCATGCCTTTAGTTGTAAATTGTTGCCCAAATTCAAGGTATTACTATGATTGGGATTATTGGTCTTTCCACAGTGCCTAGAACATTATTATGCACATAGGAGGTGCCCAAAATACACTGATTAGATGAATAACAGAAGGAACATTATCCATCAACTCCTCCTGATTTAAAGCACGGCTGCTGGCCACCTGCTCTACGTCAGACCTACCTGTAATCAAAACATACTTAACAAATACACCACCTACTCTTACTACACTGCCACTGTCACTATGAATAATAATAGCTGACGATCACTGAGCCCCTGCTATGGGCCCGACCCCGTGTGAAGCCCACTTCGTGCATGTGATCTCATTTACTCCAGCTTGCCGCAAACTTGTGGAACAGCTACTATCCTTGCTCATTTTACGGAGGCTTCACCAGGTTAGATAACTTACCTAAAATCACATAGGAAATAAAGAGCAGAGGCAGTTTCAAACCCAGGTCTCACTGATTCCAAAGTCCATACTCTTAACCACCAGCCTACATTGTTCAACCAGCAACAAATTATCATATCAAGTAAAAATTTCTGTCGCAGTGGAAGATGACTATGAACAGATGTTTTTGTCAGTTCTAATAATAATCAGATATGTATTAAAACATACATATGAGGGGTGCCTGGGTGGCTCAGTCAGTTAAGCATCCGACTCTTGGTTTCGGCTCAGGTCATGATCTCAGGGTCGTGAGATCGAGCCCCGAATCGCATGGAGCCTGTTTGAGATCCTCTCTCCCCTTCTCCCTCTACCTCTCCACCATTCTCTCTCCCTCTCCCCTCCTCCTCTCTCTCATAAATAAATAAATCTTTAAAAAAACAACAATAATAACAAAAAAGAACAGCATACATACGAGACTCAGGGAAAAAACTGTGTGGCTGATCTCCACGAGGTTTTTCTGGCCGAGGCTCCAGCAGGACCATCTGACCATGGGCTGGCAGCCGGCTTCCCACAGGATCCAGCCTGACCGTACACTCCAGGCCGGCTGTCCTCTCGTAATCAAATCTGAGCAGGTTCTTATCAATGGCTCTGGACAAGCCATAGAATTCAGACACCTCCAGGACATTGTTACTCCTACGGATGATGTTACAGTCGGGTTCCAGGAGATAGACCCGCAGGATAAAGGTTTCCGTGAAGGTATCTGTCTCAGTAAATCTGTGGAGAGAACAGAGCCAAGCGATGTTTACTAGCGCTCAGGTACTTCCGGTAGCTAATGATTGACCTTTACAAAATGCGCCTATGGGGTAGAGTTTGGATTTTGTTATCTACTCTACTCCCAATCTCTGTTCTTTTCCTTTCTTCTTATCTTGGTGTCAACTCCTTTTTCTGCCATCTCCCACGCCAATGAGCTTTCTTTCAACACCTTCTCTCAAACCCACCATCTATGCTGATATATAATAACAGCTGGGAGCTCAGAGTCTCACTGCTAGCACATCCATAATTTAAGAGTACCAAGCTTGTGTAATTAATTTACAGATTGAGTTTTGATTCAGGAGTGAAAGGGTGAGGAGTTTCTGAAGGAGCAACACCTTTTTGCTCTTCAGAAACCTATGAGAGACATTGTTAATTCCATTTTACAGAGGGGGAAACTGAGGCATAGAGAGGCCAAGTAGCTCACCAAAGGGGCTGAAGAGGAGGTGAGTGGGGGAATAAGCATGTTCTCTGATTTTCTGCCTCCAACGTCTCTGAATACTCTATTTCAAATGTCCTCAAGACCAAGAGGAGCTCCTGTGACTTGGTCCTTCTCACCTGCTCCTCCACCCTCTCTGTCCCTTCGAAACTCAGGGAAGAAGTGGGAGAAGCCAGAATCCACCAGCTTTTCCAGCCCCTCCAGGCAAGCTGTCCAACGTTAGTTTTTTAACTCTAAAATCTTAGAAAGATCAAACAGCCCTATATGCTGGTGATAAAGAATCCTTGGGTACTATTTCATTTTTTGAGCACAGCCTCTCTTTCAGCACTTGTTCACATTACCATTATCTACCCATATTTTGCATCAGATTAAGAGCACCAAAAATCCATGCATCCTCATCCTTGTGTTCCCTATGCCCAGCATAGGGCCTTGAGTTTTAGTAGGTGATTTTAAGTGTCTATAGAACAATTCAATGTCCTAGTGTCTTCTATAAAACTCTTTGCAATAGTAGTATAGTACTTAAGGGAAATTCGCACTAAGATATTTTAGCCAAATATTCATAACAGCAATAAAACCAAGTAAAAATCTATCTAAAAGCCTACTCCATGGGGTGCCTGGGTGGCTCAGTCAGTTAAGCATCTGAAGGCAGATGCCTTCGGCTCAGCTCATGATCCTAGAGTCCTGGGATCGAGCCCCACGTCAGGCTCTCTGCTCAGCAGGGAGTCTGCTTCTCCCTCTCCTTCTGCCTAGAGCCCCACCTGCTTGTGCTCTCTATCAAATAAATAAATAAAATCTTAAAAAAAAAAAAAAAGCCTACTCTACCTACTGCATTGTCAGTTACCTCTATGAAGTGAGCAATACCATAACCATGAGCTTAATTTTTTTTTTTTAAAGATTTTACTTATTTATTTGACAGAGAGAGACACAGCGAGAGAAGGAACACAAGCAGGGGGAGTGGGAGAGGGAGAAGCAGGCTTCCCACCGAGCAGGGAGCCCAATGTGGGGCTCGATCCCAGGACCCTGAGATCATGACCTGAGCCGAAGGCAGACGCTTAACGGCTGAGCCACCCAGGCGCCCCACCATGAGCTTAATTTTTAAATTAATTTTTGAGACATAATTCACATACCATAAAAATCACCTTTTTAAAGTATACAACTCAGTGGTTTTTAGTATATTCACAAGGTTGTGCAACCATCACAACTACCTAATTCCAGAACATTTTTATCCCCCCAAAAAGAAATCCATATCCATTAGCAATCACTCCCCATTTGCCCTTCCCCCAGCCCCTGGCAATCACTAATCTGCTTCCTGTGTTTTATGGATTTGCCTTTTCTAGAAAAGTGACCTTTTGTGTCTGGTGTCTTTCATTTCACATGATGGTTTCAAGGTTCATCCATGTTGTAGCGTGCATCAGTACTTCATCCCATTTTATGGCTGAATAATATTCCATTGCATGGATACCCCACATTTTGTTCATACATTCATCAGTTGCGTTCTTTCAACTTTTTAGCTATTATGAATAATGCTGCAATGAAGATTTGTGTGCAAGTTTGGGGGGAAATACAGGTTTTTGTTTCTCTTACATATATATTTAGAATTGCTGGCTCACACAGTTACTCTGTACTTAACTTTGTAATTGATTTTGTAAACAATTAGAAGACACTCAGCCACTTATTGACTAAGCAGCCGGTAATAAAAATAAAGACTATCATTCAATTTTGGAATATATTTTCCTAGTTCTCGTTAAGAATTTGTATTTTGCAATTTTCATTTCCCATTATAAGCAGGAAGGTGGATCACCAGAGACACCTGTATAAGAACTCTAAAGGGGAACAGGACAGAAATTTGCCACAGAAAAGCCCCCAGGACGATGATACAAATAAAGATAATTGAAAGTAGACAACAATTCTTGCCTCACCTACTTAGGTCCCCAATTTCTACTGACTGCTTGCTTGTTTGGAATCTAGCAACTAGCCTCGTGATAATATCGATCTATAGAGAAAGCCCTAAGAAGTACACAGAATGGTTATGCGTGCTGCTTACCTGTACAGTCTAAGCTTCACTGCATCTTCATCAAGAATCGGGCAACCATTGTGAATATACTTTACTTCATTGGGAAGGAAATGGCAGTCAAAGACCTAGTTCACGTGAAGAAATGGATAAATATATGTGAAAAAATTGGTACAAGACTTGATTTTTCTGGCAATAGAGTACTGCCTGGGGAAATTATGGTCTGTTAGTGGGGTGTGTCTATGTATGTATGCGTGTGCTTGCGCATGTGCGTGTTATAACCACCACCACCTCTACCCACTGCCGTGCCCGTTCCCATCCTGCTTATATAGGTGTGTCTTATTGTGAGAATATCTAAACTATGAAAATCCAAGCAGATCAAGCAGATATATTAAGGAGTAATTTGTTTACAGTTTATAGTACATTTAAACTGTGGTTCCATTTATCAAAATATAATACACCCACACCCTTCAGGGGTTCATAGCAACTGAGTTAGAGGTCTACCTGCGTGTACGCATGAAAAGGCATGCATTACCCCTCAACAAACACGTTGTACTACTTACATTATGTATCTTTGTCTTTTCTTTCTTTCTTTTCTAAACAGCATTTTTATATTCAAAAATGAACCCACTGACTACGGACACTGTTGTGGTTGATCAGAGCCAAACATGACCCAGAGTTGCTTCTCATACACTTGCAAAAGACTGCTTTACTGATTACTAATAGCAGAAATGGTTGATGAGGGGTGCTTGGGTGGTTAAGCATCTGCCTTCAGCCCGGGTCATGATCCCGGGGTCCTGGGACTGAGTCCCGCCTAGGGCTCCATGCTCAGCGGGGAGCCTGCTTCTCCCTCTCCCCTTCTCCCTCCCCGCCCCCCCACTCACGCTCTAATAAATAAATAAAATCTTAAAAAAAAAATGGTTGATGAGACAAATAGCAAGCTAAAGGTAATTTCTTCTATTCAAATGAAATTAGAATTAACTGAATCACCTCACTCAGAACTATTAAGGAAATTGCTAACTGTTGTATTTGGGGAACCCTAATTCTCAAAAGAAGAATTTTCCCTCCCAACCACACCACGATTCTCATTCCGCCCTGCCTGACTCGGCAGAGTGTTAAGAAATAGCCTTGCGGTATTGGCACACTGTCACTGTTGAGTCCATGGTCTGTAGTCGATACTTTGTCACAGGCTCAATCATTGACAGGCAACCTCGTCCTCTTTGAGAAGACAGTACTACTAATACGAATGATCTTCTTTTCCCACAGACATCATTGGTTCCTCTTTTTAACTGACAACAAGGAAGGAGATAAAGGAAAGACCTTCCCCGTATCACTGACAAATAGTCATGGTGACAAAGAGACAATCTGCTTTGTTAAAAGAAACGTCTGTTTTATGTTTCATAATATGTTTTCCTTTTATAAAAGGCGACAACCATAATTGTCCATAAATTTACTAACTAAAACAAAGGAGAGCTAAATCCTTTTCTAATTACTGTCTAGCCTTGGTTTTTTCCACTTCAACTGCTTTTCAATTACAATTTATAATTAAATTGTCACACATTCCTAACTCATTACTCACTTTAATGACAGTAAGCTGGTTCAACCTAGAGATGTTTTCTTACGGCTGTATTTCTGATTCAAAAAAGCAAGCTCAGCTCTAAACTGAGGTGCTTTTCCACCCAGGAAATTTCTTGCTTTGAAACAGGTGTGAGAAGTGCTGTGTGTGAGGAAGTCTTGTCCTAAAACATGAGGAAAACATATTGCCACTGACCTCATCCAATTGACTATATCAAGAGGGTTATCTAAACAGAAGGTACTGGTGTGAGCCAAGTGAAATCCCTCTCCAAATATCCAATAGGAAAATGAACCTGTTGGTCCTAAGACAAACTTCAGTAATGAAATGAAAACACTAATTGAACAGATGTTAAACAAAACATTTTCTGTGCAAATCAAATAAAACTGTTCATTACACAGCAGGGTGTTGTTAATACAGTCATCTTGCTAGAAATGGGTTCACATAAGCCTTGCTTTCAGCTTACTGGTAAGTGCTATTAAAGAATAATGTTTAGGCTTTGTGTGTATGCGCGCACATTCGGCTATGTTTAACTTCAAAAACGCCATAAGAAATAAATCCTTGGGGAGAGTTGCATTAAAAATAGGCACACATTCCCCCCACACACAAAAAAACCAGACTTTACTTAGGAATCTGGTTTTTGTTGAAATTGTCATAATAAAGTAAAAAGATCATCTGGCAGTTTGAGAACGTTTTCTGGGTACACGGACTTCCTTATGGTACAAATATCTGACAGAAAGATAATGAAACTCCACAGTTCAATGGCCTCCTTTTCCACACAATAAATTTTAGAAGATACAGGTCCCGTATTTACTTTAGACCAGATAAATCCATTTGAGCTGCCACATTGACCTCCAGAAATGCGCTCACTGAACATTTTCTTGCACTGAAGTCACAGCACTCGAGGGGACAAGCTGGGACTTTTTGGAGCCCCCTCCGTGGCCTACCCGTCCAGACTTCCCTAAACCAGGCAGGCATGCTGTTTCTGCTCCATATTCTTTCTATTAACTGGATTTTGGCCTTCAAATCAGAGAAAATTTGGAATGGAGATCTCTTGCAACTCTTGACCCCCAAATAAGTGTTTTACCTGATTGTAGTCACTTAGATCTCCTTTTGCTCTCTAGTATCTCAGAGCCGACCAGATGGCGAAGACCATTAAAACAACACCAATAATACATAATGGAGACAATTTCGTTACTTGCAGAGAAAGCACTATAGATACGTTTATAAGTCATAGGCTATTTGGAATAGGGAGAGGATACTCCTCGGAGGCTGACTTAAGGAACAGTACATTCTCCCCAAATTATTTTCTAAGGAGGGAGAATCTGGTGAAGAATAGGGCTTTTGTTTTGCATGCTTAGGGCCAGAGATAGGCAATATGAATAAGCTCAGCTGCAGAAAATGGAATCCTAACCATAGGGACTCGGTTTGTTAAAAGCAAATCCTTGGAGTTTTGGAGAGCAATAGAGGACCCGTAGGTTGCCCCAGCATACACCAGGAATTATTTTTTTCTCTTCCCCCACAAAATGTTCAGCCTCACTTCTAAATAAATGTTGAACAATTTTTTAAAATATATTGATTGGAAGGGGTACCAAATTATGAGTTCATTACTTTATAAGGCACCCACATATATCCATGCAGCCACGGACACCGGTGTTCTAGGATTAGGGTCCTCTACTGCTTTCCAAAACTCCAAGGATTTGCTTTTAACAAACCGAGTCCCTATGGTTAGAATTCTATTTTCTGCAGCTGAGCTTATCCATATCACCTACTCGTTGCATTTAGTGCATCTGGGTTGCAGTTATGAGCTATCCCAGGTCTCTCCTCTTTCCAACCAAACACACTTTCACCAGGCACCTGGGTGGCTCAGTCGCTTAAGCATCTGACTTAGGCTCAGGTCATGATCTTGGGGTCCTGGGATGGACCGCAAGATCAGCAGGGAGTCTGCTTGTCCTTCCCCCTGCACGTGCGCTGTCTCTCAAATAAACAAAATCTTAACACCCACACCCCCACCCACACACACTTTTGCAGTGCAAATCGTGTTGGGAGCAAGTGTGAAGATGTTGCAATTCCCAAATACTCAGGAATACAACCCCTTAGGAACTGGGGCCATTACTGTATTCAGACAGTTGGCAGGTGCCCATCAGAAGCTCTGACTAACAAAAGAAAATCTCATGGGAAACTGGAGAGAGACATTTGGTTGCTAACACATCTGGAATACTCCCTAAGTGAGAGTTGTGATGTGTTTCAGAGTTGGACTGTCCTCTGAGTGCGGTAAGTGGAACAGCTTGCGATAGCCACTTGAGTTAGCATCTAAGTCTCCTGAAGTTCGTCTCTACATCATCTAGTACCACTGTTGAGGTAACCTGCTGGGATAAAATTCTTCGGCCAAATGAAGAAGGAACTTAATGTTCACAGTTCACAAATAATGGTGCATGTTTCCAGAAGCAGCACCAGCCAGTGCGGAACATTCTCAAAATTGCCTGCATTGGGAGGAAGTTAAACCACAGTAGGGACAAGTCATAAAACCAGAAACAATTTCCTTATTGTGTAGAGAGGTAAACCCCTACTTCAAGCAAATACAATACATGATAATACAGACTTTTTTTTAACCCAATGACTTAGAAGGTAACTCTTCATCCTACAAAAGGATTGCGCCTAGAATACTCTTAAACGACGAGGTCTCCAAGATCGTGACTAAAGGAAAACATTTGTCTACAGACATTTTTGAAGAACAATGAATATTTAAAGGGAAGTATTTTCACCTCTCTTTTCCACGTCTCTCCTCCCACTCAACGGAATGTTCTAGTGATGGAAACAGATAAAAATATCTTCACGTCTTACTTGTGCTATTCTGCGATCACAAGTGGGGCCTAAAACACATCTTGAAATCTGGTATCTTATCCAAAGGCATCCTGACTAGGAATGGATGAGATCATCTGGGGCAAGAATAATCCCATAAAGACTGACCATATCACACCACACAGGAGACGGCCCACTCCAGCCCTTGGAAGTCTGTCCCTGCTTTGGTTCCTCTCTCTCAATCTCTCTCTCTCTCTCTCACACACACACACACACACACACACACTCACTCACATTCATACACATGACTGAATAGAAAAATCTCAGGCAGGACCTACCTGTGGGGTGAGTTTCCCAACCCTTTGAGTCATTGGCTCGTTCATCACAACTTCCACTTTGCAAGCATCTTTTTCTTTGGGGATGGCAAACTTCAGGTCATCTCCCGACAGGAAGGCAGAGCTGCCCTTCAGCAGCCTGAGCCCACGATTAAGGCTGATGAAGGTCGCACCGGCCCAGCCTAGGAGCAACAGCAGGGGCAAAGCCCCGGGCCCACCCCAGGTCGGAGCGCTCATGCCGTCAGGGGCCAACTCCGTTTGTCCACCGGCGAAATCCCTTCAACAAAACAGGGCTTCTGTGCTTCCTCCAGAGATGTTAGCTCATAGTCCAAGGGGCAGCAGGGCAAGGGGTCCCGACAATGTGCCCCAAGATCCTAACATGCCCCTTTCATTTCAAACCCAGACAAGGAGGCTTTTCAGGCAATCCCAGGGTGTTTAATAAAACTCGCTGATCACTCCTGACAACGCCGGCAAGATGAATGTGCCTCCCAAGTGCTTTTCTAATCCTGCAAATGAGAGGAGAGGTTGTAGGAAAGCAAGAGAGAGACCAAAAGGTTTGTGTGGCTATTCAAAAGATCCCTGCCGGCAAAGGAATCTTTCAACCAGCCTATAATTTCAGCTAAATTAAAAACAAATAAACTAACTTGACCTCCAGGCCCATGTGAAAGACAGAGAAGCCATTTCATTACCCTGCTTGTAACTCCCGCTTCCGGATTCAACGCGCCCCTTGTGTCCCACCCCCCCACCCCCCGTGGGGATCTCACTTGTGTGGTCCCACGGAAGCCAGCCAGCCTCACCGCCCAAGTACAGCGCCTGGTCACCTGCGTTCAGAAGGAGTTGAGCTCTGCTTCTGTTTCCTCATCTGTTAAATGAGGACGGCCTAATTTGTAGAAGAGAGCTGACAGAATTATTTGCACGCTGGTTCAAACGCTGATTAATTCTAAATCATCACGACCCAAATAAGAAACGAGCTTCATCATTTGTCCCATGAGCACAGCTCTGACATTGCTGGACAATGAAGACACCTGAGAGGCACTTGAGCGGAACCTGGAGAACAGATATTTTTCTAAGTGAACATTTCAGGGTTTTGCTGATGTGTCAAAGGGACTAGGAATTAAGTCACACGGCTTCATTAGACACAGCTAATGACTCGGCGTATGCATACGTATTCGTATTATCTATGCCGCCAATTACATTATAATGCACTGAATCTGCACAAATGGGGTCTTTGTTCCTCCTTTAACCACTTAGAATTTCAAGATTATTTCTCTGTGTTCCATAACAACAGAAATGACTGCAAAACAAGATGTACTGCAATAAAGACTTAAGTTCAGGGTAGAGTTGGGTGAACCCATGGTGGTTTGCTATGCCCACAGGAAGTCTTTACAGTTTCATGATTTCAACAAATTTCTGTATATAACCAACGGATACTCAAAATGTTTGACCAAAGGGTGTACACAAAAATTTATCCATATCTAATACACCAAGGGAAGACTCATTCTCTTGTCACTGTTTGCAACCATTCATTTCTGAGGCAGCACACAACATGAGTCACCTGATATCTAAGGGGGGTGTGCACTTTACAGAGCAGCCTTTTTTTTTTTAATGGTGTCAGTCTTAAACTGAAACAGTTCCCACACTCCCACTGACGGTGTTGCCCACACTCTGGCTGAATTAGGTTGGCTTATTTGGGCAGAAATGCAAACCTGGTTGTTGAACCTTCACTGCAAAGTCAAACCTGGTTTCCATTCACATTTGGCATCTAGGATCACTCCAAAAAAGCAGCACATTCAGAGAGAAGAGAGTGGCTAAGTGTTTCCCAAAGTGGAGAGATAAGGGGAAAAACTTTGCTTTCTGAGAATTAAATCAACTTGTAAAGGCTGTAAGGATGGCACGCTCTCGTGTATCCCTTTTATCTCACTATTACCTCCCTTCTCTTTTACTGCTTCTTCCTAGATCCCCTGACTTTTTAACGTGGGGAGCCTAGGGTGCAGTCCTTGGACCTGGTTTTTGTCTACCCTCATTCCCTAGTGATCTCATTCCTTGGCTTTAAATACCACTTATATGCTAATGAGTCCCAAATTTATATCTCTAACCTCCTCCCTTAACTCTGGATTCCATATGCCACTGTCTATGTGACATCTCCCTGGGGGTATTTAATGGGCATCTCATTCTTCATGTCGCCAAATTTGTGCTCTTGGTCTTCCCTCCCTCCCTCTCTCTGATCTCAGTTAATGGCATCCAACTTTTCTGGTGTTTGGTCTACAGCTAAACAACAGCAACAAAATCCTGTTTGTTCATTGCAGTGGACACACCTTAGGGTGACCTCCAATAATTGCGGCCCCATAGCATCCAGAAGTTCCCTCCCCTTGAGTGAGAGCAGAACCTGTGAGGCTTCCAACCAACAGAATTAGGCACAGGTGATGGGATGTCGTTCCCATGGTTACACTATGTAATATAAGAATCTCTCTTAGCAGGCTGGGGCTCCAGGCTCTCCTGATGACCTTGAAGCAGGAAGCCTCCGTGAATTCCAGTGTCACAAGGAAATGAATTCTGCCGACAGCCTGAACGAGTTCGGAAGAAGATTCATCCTAAATCAAGCCTCCAGATAACACTAGCATCCAGGGGCACCTGGGTGGTCAGTCGTTAAGCGTCTGCCTTCGGCCCAGGTCATGGTCCCCAGGGTCCTGGGATTGAGCCCTGCATCGGGCTCCCTGCTCAGCTGGAAGCCTGCTTCTCCCTCTGCCACTCCCCCTGCTTGTGTTCCCTCTCTCGCTGTGTCTCTCTCTGTCAAATAAATAAATAAAATCTTAAAAAAAA